AGAAACAAAGAAGGTCATTACATAATGGTAAAAGGATTGATACAACAAGAAGAGCTAACTATCCTAAAAATATATGGACCCAATACAGGAGCACCCAGATATATAAGGCAAGTTCTTAACGACTTACAAAAAGACTTAGACTCCCACACAATAATAGTGGGAGACTTTAACACTCCACTGTCAATATTAGACAGATCAACCAGACAGAAAATCAACAAGGATAACCAGGGCTTGAACTCAGACCTGGAACAAGCAAACCTGATAGACATTTACAGAGCTCTCCACCCCAAATCCACAGAATAGACATAATTCTCAGTGCCACATCACCCCGACTTTAAAACTGACCACATAATTGGAAGTAAAACACTCCTCAGCAAATGCAAAACAACTGAAATCATAACAAACAGTCTCGCAGACCATAATGCAATCAAACTAGAACTCAGAATTCAGAAACTAACTCAGAACCACACAGCTTCATGGAAACTGAACAACTGGCTCTTGAATGTTGACTGGATAAACAATGAAATGAAGGCGGAAATAAAGAAGTTCTTCGAAAACAACGAGAACAAAGACACAACGTACCAGAATCTCTGGGACACATTTAAACCAGTCTCTAGAGGAAAATATATAGCAATAAGTGCCCATATGAGAAGAGTGGAGAGATCCAAAATTGACACCCTATTGTCAAAATTGAAAGAGCTAGAGGAGCAAGATAAAAAAAACTCAAAACCTAGCAGAAGACAAGAAATAACTAAGATCAGAGCAGAACTGAAGGAGATAGAGACACGAAAAACCCTTCAAACAAATCAATAAATCCAAGAGCTGGTTTTTTGAAAAGATCAACAAAATAGACCACTAGCCAGACTGATAAAAAAGAAAAGAGAGAACAACCAAATAGATGCAATAATAAACGATAAAGGGGAAATCACCACAGATTCCACAGAAATTCAAACCATCATTGGAGAATATTACAAACAACGCTATGCACATAAACTAGTAAACCTGGAAGAAATGGATAAATTCCTGGACACCTGTGTCCTCCCAAGCCTAAACCAGGAGGAAGCAGAAACTATGAATAGACCAATAACAAGGTCTGAAGTTGAGAAAGCAATTAAGAGCCTACCACTCAAAAAAAGCACAGGTCCAGATGGGTTCACAGCCGAATTCTACCAGACACACAAAGAGGAGCTGGTACCATTCCTTCTGAAACTATTCCAAATAATCCAAAAAGAGGGAATCCTTCCCAAATCATTTTATGAGACCAACATCATCCTGATACCAAAACCCGGCAGAGACTCAACAAGAAAAGAAAACTTCAGGTCAATATCCACGATGAACATAGATGCGAAAATCTTCAATAAAATACTGACAAACTGACTGCAACAGCACATCAAAAAACTTATCCATCACGATCAAGTAGGATTCATCCCAGGGATGCAAGGATGGTTCAACATACGCAAGTCTATAAACGTAATTCACCACATAAACAGAACCAAAAACAAAAACCACATGATTATCTCAATTGATGCAGAGAAGGCATTTGACAAAATTCAACAGCCCTTTATGCTAAAAACCCTCAATAAACTCGGTATTGATGGAACGTATCTCAAAGTAATAAAAGCTATTTACGACAAACCAACAGCCAATATCATACTGAATGGGCAAAAACTGAAAGCATTCCCTTTGAAATCTGGCACTAGACAAGGATGCCCTCTTTTACCACTCCTATTCAATATAGTGCTGGAAGTTCTAGCCAGAGCAATCAGGCAAGAAAAAGAAATAAAGGGTATTCAAATAGGAAAGGTGGAAGCCAAATTGTCTCTATTTGCAGACGACATGATAGTATACCTAGAAGACCTCATCATCTCAGCCCAAAAACTCCTGAAACTGATAAGCAACATCAGCAAAGTCTCAGGATATAAAATCAATGTGCAAAAATCACAAGCATTCCTATACACCAATAAAAGACTTAAAGAGAGCCAAATCAAGGACAAACTGCCATTCACAATTGCTACAAAAAGAATAAAATACCTAGGAATACAACTTACAAGCAATGTAAGGAACTTCTTCAAGGAAAACTACAAACCACTGCTCAATGAAATAAGAGAGGACACAAACAGATGGAGAAACATTCCATGTTCATGGTTAGGAAGAATCAATATTGTGAAAATGGCTATACTGCCCAAAGTAATTTACAGAATCAACGCTATCCCCATCAAGCTACCAATGACCTTCTTCACAGAACTGGAAAAAACCACCATGAACTTCATATGGAACCAAAAGAGAGCCCACATAGCCAAGTCAATTCTAAGCAAAAAGAACACAGCGGGAGGCATCACACTACCAGACTTCAAACTATACTACAAGGCTACAGTAACCAAAACAGCATGGTACTGGTACCAAAACAGAGATATAGACCAATGGAACAGAACAGAGGCATCGGAGGCAACACAACATATCTACAACCATACAATCTTTGATAAACCTGTCAAAAACAAGCAGTGAGGAAAGGATTCCCTGTTTAATAAATGGTGTTGGGAAAACTGGCTAGCCATGTGCAGAAAGCAGAAACTGGACCCCTTCCTGACACCTTACACTAAAATTAACTCCAGATGGATTAAAGACTTAAACATAAGACCTAACACCATAAAAACCCCAAAAGAAAATCTAGGCAAAACCATCCAGGACAAAGGAGTAGGCAAGGACTTCATGAACAGAACACCAAAAGCATTGGCAACAAAAGCCAAAATGGACAAATGGGACCTAATCAAACTCCACAGCTTCTGCACGGCAAAAGAAACAGTCAGTAGAGTGAATCGGCAACCAAAAGAATGAGAAAAAATTTTTGCAGTTTACCCATCTGACAAAGGGCTGATATCCAGAATGTACAAAGAACTCAAACAGATTTACAAGAAAAAAACAAACAAGCCCATTAAAAAATGGGCAAAGGATATGAACAGACACTTTACAAAAGAAGACATACATGAGGCCAACAAACATATGAAAAAATGCTCATCATCACTGGTCATTAGAGAAATGCAAATCAAAACCACATTGAGATACCATCTCACGCCAGTTAGAATGGCGATCATTAAAAAATCTGGAGACAACAGATGCTGGAGAGGATGTGCAGAAATAGGAACACTTTTACACTGCTGGTGGGAGTGTAAATTAGTTCAACCATTGTGGAAGACAGTGTGGCGATTCCTCAAGGCCTTAGAAATAGAAATTCCATTTGACCCAGCAATCCCATTACTGGGTATATATCCAAAGGACTATAAATCGTTCTACTATAAGGACACATGCACATGAATGTTCACTGCAGCACTGTTTACAATAGCAAAGACCTGGAACCAACCCAAATGCCCATTGATGATAGACTGGACTGGGAAAATGTGGCACATATACACCATGGAATATTATGCAGCAATAAAAAATGATGAGTTTGTATCCTTTGTAGGGAAATGGATGAACCTGGAGAACATCATTTTCAGCAAACTGACACAAGAACAGAAAATGAAATACCGCATGTTCTCACTCATAGGTGGGTGCTGAACAATGAGAACACATGGACACAGGGAGGGGTGCACTACACACTGGGGTTTGTTGGGGGGAATAGGGGAGGGACAGCGGTGGGTGGGGAGTTGGGGAGAGATAGCATGGGGAGAAATGCCAGATATAGGTGAAGGGGAGGAAGGCAGCAAATCACACTGCCATGTGTGTACCTATGCAACTATCTTGCATGTTCTTCACATGTACCCCAAAACCTAAAATGCAATTAAAAATATATATATAAAAAAAATAAAAACACCTCTGAAATCACGGGGAAAAAAAAAAGACTGGAAACCACCTGCACATTCATCAATGAATAGGAGAATGGTACATCCAAGCTGGGCATGGTGACTCATGCTTGTAATCCCAGCACTTTGGGAGGCCAAGATAGGGGAATCATTTGAGGTCAGGAGTTCAAGACCAGCCTGGCCAACAAAGTGAAACCCTATCTCTATCGAAAATACAAAAATCAGCCAGACATGGTGGCATGCACATGTAATCCCAGCTATTCAGGAGGCTGAGGAAAGAAAATCACTTGAACCCTGGAGGCGGAGGTTGTAGTGAGCTGAGATCATGCCACTGTACTCCAGCCTGGGTGAAAGAGTAAGAATCTGTCTTAAAAAGAAAAAGAGGAAAAGAGAATGGCACATCCATACAATGGATGAGGCAACTGTAAAAAAAGAATGAGGAAGCTCTACATGTCTGGTATGCAAAGATAGCCAATATAAAATAAGTGAAGCAAGGCGCAGACCAGTGAGTATAGCATCAGGCATCTGCCTGAAGAGTAACAATGTAATAATAGAGAATGCATAGATGCACACTCACAAACCAACCTGGTTAACAGGGCACTAAGAGGAAGAAACTGGATAGTTGAGAGCCTGAGGAGGGAAAGTGGGAATACCTTCTGGATTTTCAAAAATTATTGGCTGGGTGCCATGGCTCACGTTTGTAACCTCAACACTTTGGGAGGCTGAGGCAGGAGGATTGTAGTCTTAGCTATTTGGAAGGCTGAGGTGTAAGGATTGCTTGGGCCCAGGAGTTCAAGGCTGCAGTGGGCTAGGATCATTCCACTGCATTCCAGCCGAGATGACAGAATGAGACCCTGTCTTTTTTTTTTTTTTTTTTTTGAGACAGAGTTTCGCTCGTTACCCAGGCTGAAGTGCAATGTCGCGATCTCGGCTCACCACAACCTCTGCCTCCTGGGTTCAGGCAATTCTCCTGCCTCAGCCTCCCGAGTAGCTGGGACTACAGGTACGCACCACCATGCCCAGCTAAATTTTGTATTTTTTTTTTTTTTTTTTTTGTATTTTTAGTAGAGATGGGGTTTCACCTTGTTGACCAGGATGGTCTCGATCTCTTGACCTCATGATCCACCCACCTCGGCCTCCCAAAGTGCTGGGATTATAGGCGTGAGCCACCATGCTCAGCCTCTTTTTTTTTTTAATTTAAACAACTGGTAATCAATTTATTAAAATAACTGACTTAAGCATCTGCAATGGTGCCTTCCACCTTAACTCCTGGCTCAATATTGATGAAAGTAATCTGCTTAACAATCTCAGAAGGACTCTGCAAGTCAATGAGTCGCTTGTGGATTCTCATCTGGAAACGATCCCATGTTTTAGAACTTTCACCACAAGGTGTTTTTCTTGTGGTGATTCTCAAAGTCTTTGTAGGCATTCGAACTGGTCCTTTCACTTTCAGATTCTTTTCCTTTGCTCCTGTGATCAAGTCAGCACACACCTTCTCCAGCGAGATTTTACATTGCAGCTTGTTAGATAGAGTAATTCGAATTCGGTGAATTGCCACCTCCAGCTCCACGGGTGTTTTTCTGGTATCCTTAAAAGCCATGGCTGATGCACGGCTTCCTGACCAACTTGCTCCTAGGCAAGACCGAACAGCGGTGAGTCAGGAGCAGGAGCGTGCGGACTAACAATCCACCATAGCTATGACCTCATCTTCCTCAAAGAGCCCCTGTCTCTATTAAAAATACAAAAATTAGCCAGGTGTGGTGGTGGGCTCCTGTAATCCCAGCCACTTAGGAGGCTGAAGCAGGAGAATCACTTGAATCCAGGAGGTGGAGGTTGCAGTGAGCTGAGATCGTGCCACTGCACTCCAGCCTGGGAGACAGAGCAAGAGTCCGTCTCAAAAAAAAAAAGTTAAACACGGAATTACCACATGACCCAGCAATTTCACTAGGTATATTCCCAAGAGAACTTAAAGCATATGTCCCACAAGAGCTTGTACATGAATGTTCATAGCAGTCAAAAAATGGAAACAACCCTGATGTCCATCAACTTCTAAATAAACAAAATATATATACACAATGGAATACTCAGCCACAGAAGGGAATAAAGTACTATTACATGCTGCAACATGGATGAACCTCGAAAACATGCTAAGTGAAATGATTCGGACACAAAAGGGTACATATGATATGATTCCATTCATATGAAATGTCCAGGATAGGGAAAGCCATAGAGAGGGGAAGTAGATTAGTAACCAGGGGATGGATAAGGGATGGAGCAACTGCTGATAGGTACCGAGTTTTTAGGTGACGGAGTGTCCTGGAATTAGTGGTGAAGGCTGTATAACACAGTTAATATAATATATAAAAACCATCAAAATGCATACTTTAAAATGGTGAATTTAGTTATTTAAAATATATCTTAATTTTATGCTATAAAAATACATAGAATATGAAATAAACTGCTCACATTCTGTCTGTGGCTCAGTGATTTGAAAGTTTCCCCCTGTCCATGCCCTCCAGCCATGAAAGGCTGCCTGTCTGTCTCCCTTATCTTTGTGTTCCCTGGCACTTTCTAGCTGCTCGCAGGCCTTTCATCTCCCCCACGACTTCCTACTTTCTGACTCTTGGGCAAGGCCTACCCCTCCCCTCACTGGATCCACCCTTTCCTGGTGGGTCCACACCACCTACTCAGACCTACTGGAGAGCGTCTAGAGGCCCCGGCACCAGCCCCATCAGTCACCCCAGATGAGCTGTCCAATGGCCAGGGCTGTGGTTACAAGCATGTGTCAGCTGAGGGATACGGTTTCACATGGGAACTTAATTATAGCTCTGGAGTGGTGAAGGGAGAGGGGGTGGTGCAGGCTTTGAGGGGACGTACAGGAAGCTATCCTGCCCTGCTAGCGGGTCTCACCAGGCCTGGGATCACAGGAGAACAGGCACAATCCAGGCAAGCCCACAGGAACACAAAGCTTATTTATGGAAATCAGCCTGCACTTAAGCATGAATTCCTGGCCCAACCTGTGTGCAGGCCAAAGTAGCTCGCCTGAAAAGACCTGAGAAGGCAACTCCCACTCACCCTCAGAGCTCAGAGAGGTCTTCTCCTTGCCTACTGCCAGAGACCCCATTTTATTCTTTAAGAAGTGACAGGGAGGCATAGCTTGTTCTCCACAAAATACCTCTTCTTCAGTTTTCTCCCTGGCTTTGAGATGTTTTTCTGGAACAGAATCTGAGCTCCTGAGGCATGGAACATCTTTCTCTATGCTATATCCCTGCCTACTGCCCAGGGAGGTGCCAAGAAGCTGTGCAGCTGCTGCCACACAGTTGTCAGTAGAGCACAGTAGCCAGATAAACCAGATTGTCAAACTACTGTACCTGGACACTGTCAGGTGAGGGAAGCAGATCAGGTAGAAAGAGAGAATCTCCGGAAAGATCATAGAAAGAGTGGGGACAGGGTGGAGGAGTGGGTGCTATTGAGACACATTTTTTTCTCCCCTACGTCTGGCCCCTATCTGGGACCATTATTCTCCAGGCCTCTTCCTGGCCAGCTTGGTTGCTGTTTCAGAGAGAAGTCCTTGCAGCCACTTGCTGCCTGCCCTGCCCCAACCCATCACCCATGAAGCTTCTTTGCACTGACTTAAGACAGAGCCAGGGACCCAGGCCCTCCTCTGAGTTGTTCTTCCCAAGACCCCCACCCCCAGCCCTGGCATTATCCTTCCCATCTACTCTCTGTGCACCTTTTTTTTCTGAGCTCCTCAGAGAGTCATCCGTAAAAGCCATAGAAGGAAACCTTCAGACTGGAGGTGGTATCCGTTTCTGGATTTGTACAGAAGGAAAAAAAAAGGCAGGAGTGGTGAGCAGGCAGAGCAGATGGGGCACTGGACAGAGACAGGGAGAGACACAGATGGGGAGAGGCCGAGTAAGACTTTGTGCACCTCTCGACCCTCTGCCCATTTGGCAATAACATCAAGGAATAACCAGACAGCTCTTTCCAAGTGCCTCCTTCTAGGCCAAATGCCTTTCCCACAAGCGTGAGGGGAGGCTGGAAGACAAGCAGACACCAGGAAACCACCTGAAAAATGGGAAAGACAAGTCACAAAACTAAATGTTAAAGTAACTAGGTATACACAATTTGAAAATAACATAGGTCCAAAAAAAAAAAAAACCCATAGATCAAAGCAGCCACTTATGTGTGGTTATATATTTTTTCTTCTCAGTGCTTACTTGTATTTTCTAATAATCTGTAACAAATGAGCATTATTTATATAACTAAAATATTTTTAACTAAATTATAAACCACGTGCATAAAAACTTATGCTCCCACATCCCAAAAAAAGACAGTTCCCCAATTCCTATGATCCTAGCCATTGGTGGCATCTGATTAATTTCAAAACTCCCAAACACAGTTTTCTAAAGATGTCATCTACTGTTTGTCACTAGTTAGATAAACAGCTTGCAAGCAGCAAGCCCTTCCTCCATCATCTCACGCCCAATACCCAGAACCACCTGCCGCCATGGGACACAGACCCCTACCACTCCAGAGTTCATATCCAAAAGCCAGAACCTCAGCAAGGTGTAAAACTAAACATAAGGTCTGGGGGTTACAGATATCCTCAGGCCAGAAGAGTGCTCGCTGCATCTCCCTGCCTTTTCCAGGGCCCAGGCAGGGGTTGGCAGGAGCATACTCTAGGCTGCTGACACTCAGAAGTACCCTGTGGGGCTCCACAGATAATCACTGGACTCAGGTTAATACCTACTCAAGCCAATGTTCAGATGTAAAGAGAAAGACAAATAACACTGAAGTTCTTTTTCTTTTTTAAATATTATTTTAATTTTTTAAATAAATAGACACAGGGTCTCACTATGTTGCCCAGGCTGATCTCAAATGCCTGGCCTCAAATGACCTTCCTACCTTGGCCTCCCAAAGTGCCAGTGTTACAGGTATGAGGCACCATGCTCAGCTGCCTTGAAGTTCTGTTTGGTCCAACCAATAACGACTAGCATCCACCTATGGTGCTCGGTGCCGAGAGTCTAATGACATTAATAAAACAATCAACATTCAGTGAGTACCTCCTCTGTGCCTTTACATGTATGAGCTCATTTAATCCCTGGGGTGGATGGTCTACAGTTATCACCCCCATGCCCCACAGAGTCTGGCTCTTAAGCACTACCCCATATTCCCTAGAAGTTTGTAAGCCTGAGAAAACAGGCAGTGAGCTAGAGTCATAAAGAGTGCCACATGCTACTCCCTGCTCTGTTCCAGGAGGAAGCTCATTCCCCTCTGAGAAGCCAAAGAAATGAGAAGTGTGGCTGTTTCTGTCTCGGCTGCCCTCACAGCCTCTAGCTACCTGAGCTCTAAGATCCCTGGGGCCTACAGCTGGCCTGAGGAGGAGCCAGCAGGGCAGGCAGATGGGCACAGTTCTCAGAGACCAGCCAAAGCCACCAGTGAGATGCCTTCTATGCCTGCCTCTTCTGATTCCCAATGCCATCCCTGCACCCCAGTCTCTGCATCCAAGCCAAGAAATGGGAACAGAAATAGAAAAGGCTCTCTAAGAATAAATCAGGGATGGCAAGGTGCAAGAAAGAGAAAAAGATGATGCCACTGCTGGTTCGGGCATAGTGAGTCCTGCTAGCTTGGGCAGTGCCCATGTTGAGAAGGCAAGTACCAAGAGCCCTGATTTTTTTTCAGCCTCTGCTCACAAGCCTGTGGATGCACACTTGCATAACTACTTGCACATACCTGGAGAGCCCGGGCTGAGGTGACATCAGCAAGAACAGCAGAGCTACTGAACTGAGAAGAACAGGGCTCAAATTCCAATTCCACCACTTGTTGGCTGTGTAACTTGGGCGAGTTGTTTAACCTCTCTGATGGTACGCTGTGTCTGTAAAATGGGAACATCAATACCCACCTCTTGCAGGCTGATGTGGAAGAAGGGGAGTTTATCTGTGGGTAACAACTGGCCTAAGGAAGAACCTGAATAAAGGCAATTTCCCTCCCTTATTTCTCTCCCTATGTGCACGTCTGGGCCAAAATCTCTTTCCCTTTTTACTTTGCCAGACTGAAGCCGCTGATTAATCAATCACTTACAGCAGAGATTGTTTTTTTCTCCTAAGAGTTCCTCCCACCCTACATGCCAGGCCCACAGCTTGGCTGGTCAGTGTCTTGTGGTTCTAGGGGCTGCTCACTATCTTGGAGCAGATCCAGGGAGCCAGTATGCACCACCATTCTCAGGGCCTGCTCTGTCCACTGACCTAGAATGAGACTCTGCAGGAGGCCCCAAGGCCTGCCAAAATTTTGCTTCCACTCAGGGACCAGCAAGAGACTGCTATTCTCTGAAGCCAACATCAGTCTGGCCAGTCAAGCAGGTACTTTCCAAACTGGAACAATTAGATCCAGCCAGCCATCCTTCCTAGAAAGCCCTGCTATGTAGTGATCAAAGACATGGGCTTTAATCACTTGGGTTCAAATCCCAGCTCTCCCATTCATTAGCTGTGCAACTTAGGCAATTTTCCTAACCAGTCTGAGCCTCAGTATCCTCATCTCTAAAAGGGGTACAATGATTCCTACCTCTTAGGGTTACTGTGTGCATAAAACAAAGTGATATACGGAGTGACTGGCACATTGCATTCAATGTGTGGGAGCCATAGTCTACTCAGCATGTTACTGGGTTATCTACCGGCTCTGCCATGGAAAGGGTATTAGACACAGATGGGGACAGAAGTCAGCTGTGGGAGCCGCACTAGGGAGATCAAGAAGGGTGGAATGGAAAGAAACAGGGGGCCCAGAAGCCTGGACTTCCTCGTGGGCTGAGGAAGGCCATGGAGGGGAGCATCCCAGAAACCACCAAGAACTGTGTGGTGAGTGGCCAGCCTGCACTACTAGGTACACAGTGCCATGCCAACACTGATGTGGAACTGCTTCCTTCAATCAGAAAGAGGAGATTGCTTTTCCCCTCTTCTAACACTTTTAAATGACTGTGTTTGCCTGCTGATAGTCCCTAAGTATGACGTGATAAATATCCCATGGAAAGGAACCAAGGAACACGGGCCTAAAACCCGTGAGGTGGTGTGAGGGGGAGGAGAGGAGAGGGAAGGGGCAAAGGGCCAAGCACAGTAAAAGATGTGATGGTGCTTCGGCGCCACCAATCGCATCTCTGACTTCATCTACTAGTCTCCTCTCTCCCTCTGTCCAGCCACACTGGCCCCTCTCTATGCCTCGAACACCTCAGCTGTGTTCTACCGCAGGGCCTTGGAACTTGCTTTCCCTCTGCCTGTGGGATTCTTCCCACAATGGCTCACCCTCCCTCCTTCCGCTAAAATGTCACCTTCGTGGTCAGGCCTTCCCTGGCCGTCCATGTGAAACTGCCACTACCCCCTTTCTGCTTAGTTTTCTACAGTGCATCTAAAGCCATCTCACGTGCTGTTAGTCAACTCTGGCTCCTTCCCTTTCCCCCACCTCAGTTACCATAAGAGCAGAAGAATTTTTTTTTTTTTTTTGAGATGGAGTTTCACTGTTGTTACCCAGACTGGAGTTCAATGGCGCGATCTCGGCTCACCGCAACCTCCGCCTCCTGGGTTCAAGCAATTCTCCTGCCTCAGCCTCCCGAGTAGCTGGGACTACAGGTGCGCACCATCATGCCCACTAATTTTTGTATTTTCAGTAGGGACGGAGTTTCACCTTGTTGACCAGGATGGTCTCGATCTCTTGACCTTGTGATCCACCCGCCTCGGCCTCCCAAAGTGCTAGGATTACAGGCATGAGCCACTGCACCCAGCAAGAGCAGAAGATTTTTTATCTGCTTTATTTATCCCTTCATCCTTAGTGCCAAGCACATAAGAGGTACCCAAAAAACATCTGTTGAATAAATGGAGTAGGAAAGGGGAAGATGGAATTAGAATCACATTTTAATAATCCTAGATCCTCACTGGTCTGAAACAACTGTTACTGACATCACTGAAGGTGCTGGGAGAGTTCCAAAGCAAGGATCAGATACCATCTGAGGCTTCCTCTCTTGCGCCCAAGAACTCCTCAACAGATTCCCCCAAAGTGCAGATTGTTTCAAATATTTGGTTCAGAAAAAGGCTGGGCCTATGCTCTCCTTGTGCCATGAGAGGGATGCCTTAAAATAAGAACACGGGGATCAGCCAAGCCACCACCTGTACCTGGAGGCAGATGAGCACTGTATTAGTTTCCTATTATACTGTAACAAATTACCACAAACTTAGTGACTTAGAACAAAACATTTATTCTCTTACAGTTCTGGAGGTCAGAAATCCAAAATTAGTTTCACTGGGCTAAAATGAATGTGTTGGTAAGGCCACATTTCCTCCAGAGGTTCTAGGGGAAAACAGTTTCCTTGCCTTTTCCAGCTTCCAAAGCTATATTCGTTGCGTTTTTGGCCTTCTCTTCAACCTCCAAAGCCAGCAGTGTAGTATCTTGCTGAGGTAGTTACATTGCCTCCTTCTCCTGTGTCCAATCTCTCTCTCTGGTTCCCCCTTATAAAGACATTTGAGATTGCATTTAGGGGTCCACGCAGATAATTCAGGATAATCCCCTCGTCTCAAGATCCTTAACTTAATCACATGTGCAAAGTCCATTTTGTCACCTGATATTCACATGTTGCAGAAGTTATAAAGGGGTTTATTTTGGGGGCCACTATTTAGCTTACCACCAAGGAAGCAAGCTCCAAAAGTCTGGAAGAAACACAGTTCAGATCCCTGGTCCA